GGTCCTTAAAGTGACTCGTCAGTAAGATATTAATATTCATATTTGATGTATGAAGAGTTTGAGGCAAAAACAGGAAACAAATTTAAGGATTACATAGTAAATAAGTGGTACAGCCAGGATTCCAACCCATATCAACTTGATCCTAAGACCCACGCTTTTTGGGCCTAGCAGGCATAGTATGGGTTGAGAATGGTATCAAAATTTAAGAATCTCATATCCTTGTTTGTCACATCCAGTTCACTTGATGGTAGATATGGAGGTTAAGACATGTAATAATAATGGAAGCTACTTGCATTTTTTAAAAAACCACTAAAGCCTGGAGGGGCACCACTCATTGCATCTGGTCTTGACCATAAACCAAGTTCACAGTAATTGAAGGTCATAAGGCATTGAAAATTTTGCCTGTTTTGTGACTACTGTTTTTTTAATCCTCACCCGAGGACATGTTTTTTCCATTGCTTTTAGAGAGAGAGGAAGGCGGGGGAGGGGGGGAGAGAGAAACATTGATTCATTGCCTCCTGTACGTGCCCAGACTGGAGATCCCGGACTGGGGATCGGACTGCAAACTAGGTATGTGCCCTGACTGGGAATCAAACCCACAACACTTTGTTACGGGATGATGCTTCTACCAACTGAGCCTCGCTGGCCAGGGCTCAAGACTGCCATCATTATAATGTAGGTTATTAAAATGTTCCTTCAAAAAAACTTCAGTATTTTTTTTTAACAGTTTCTATCCACAGTTTTGTGCTTTGGTCATCTCAACAAGGGAGAATGAGGCTTCTTATCATTGCATTTCTAAAATAGCCTTTCTCTTCCTCTTGAACAGGCAGCAGGTTTCCAGTATTTGGTAACCATTGCTTTGTATTTGGTAGAGTTTACTTTTTAGCTACTTTTTAGCATTGTCCTTTCATCTGAAACCTAAGCTCAGATTCATAACTACAAGACTGAACATACAGGGGCCATGCTGAGTATCTGAGCCAAGTATGACATGAGATTGTCCTGGCAAAGCCAGGGTGCATGGGGCAGCATGGTCACACACTGGCTGGGTAAAACTGTCTAGCGTACAGATATTTTCCTTTTATTCCAGTTGAATTGCTAACACGGTCAGCATTAGTATTTTAAGATACTTGTTCATGCAGGCTGTTGTGTTGAATAGCATCTGTCTGTCTGTAAGGAGTCATATCATGAAATGGAGGGAAAATATAATAATAAATATTAGCTACCCTTTTCTGAATCTCTACTGCATGCCCATCCCCTTACTTCATATACTTTATTATATAGAGTCCTTCCATACATCCTGCAGAGTAGCTATTTTCCCATTTTGCAGATAAGGACACTGAATCTCAGGGAAGTGAATTCATTCATCTAATGCCATCTGGCTAGTAAAGTGGATAGTGGTAATCAAACTCAGGTCTGACTGATTTCAAAGGCCCTTGCCCTTTTGCTATTCCTTGTTGTCCGTGACATTGATACTGTAAAGGAGACTAGAGAATTAGTTGCTTTGTGTTTAGGAAGAACTTTCTGACACTTAATGCCATTCTGGAACATTTTAATTATGTTGGCTGTTACTTCCTGTCTGTCACTGCTATCTTAATAATCTTCATAAACTCTTTATTGTAGACCAAGAAGAAAAATGAAACCTTTCATTTCAAAATGCTTTTAAAAAGACACTTCTCAAGTATTATGCTGCTTATCATGGTATTTTCTACTTAGAGGTTAATTTCTTTCGTGTCCAGCGGGGTGTGTAGTTGGACAGGTGGCGTGGAGACAAGCATTGTCTAGATCAATGCCGTCCAATAGAACTCTGTGCAGTAAGGGAACTGTTCCCTATCTGTGCTGTCCGGTGTGACAGCCGCTGATCGCATGGGCTGTCGAGTGCTTGAAATGGGGCTAGTGTGACTGAGGAAATGAATTTTAAATTTTATTTAGTTTTGATTCATTTAAATTCTAGTAAAAATAGCCACATGTGGTTGGTGGGTATTGCATTGGATGGCAGTGCGATTTAAGGTCATAACTGATGCTTATATTTGATGAGTAGTGATAGAATTTGAGAAAAATTCAATAATTGGTAGTTTATAGTTGCTGATTTGTTTTTCAGCAACGTTAAATTTGCCAAGTGTTCAACTTAAAGCCATGGACCAAATAGAGTGGAGCAGTTAACATTCCCAAAGCACTTTTGATCATTTGTGATCTCATTCAATGAGTATATCAGGTGTGACATCTTTTAAGACTTGTATTTGCTAGTAGGTCACAGAGGAAAGGCAGAAGAAGAAAATCATTTACAACTTGGTTGTGCGGGGTCTCCTGCTGAAATGGACACCAGCCCAGTCTGTCGGTGCTCAGGTTGCAGCACGAGGGCCTGGGTGGGAGCCCGTGCACTCTTTCCTTCTGCTCGCTAATTGAGATCAGAGAATTCTTTCTCCCCCTCCCCTAGAATGTCCATTAATTTTTTTTTTTTAAGTCTGAAGTGAGGGAAGTAGAGGAAATTTCTAAATTTAGCCTGGGAGCTATAATAATTTAATAGTCCACAAAGTAAAATGGAGCTTTCCTTTCCAACATTCCAAAATAATTCCTTAGGACTTTGATTTTAGTTCTTTGTTTGGGAAAATACAGCCCACTCAGATGTAATAGGTAACATTAGTTTTTAAATTGATATGTATCTACCAAAGAAACTTTTAATGAATTAAATAATAGGTTTTATATGATATTTTGAAGAAAAATTTGTATCCCTAGAATCTTGATACATTTTGGTTTCATTTTGATTGTCTTGTCTTATGAAATAGTTTGTAAAAGATACTAATTTTAGTATGCATCACTTGTGTTAATTAAGCATATTTTTTTCTCTGACATTTTATTTCGGAAACACTCCTCTCTTTTATCTCAGAGCCCACAACTAATCAACTCTGGATGCTTTTGATTTTTCTGACTGTGCCAGAGCATTGAATGAAGTTCCCTGTAGTGAGAAAAGAGAGCACATGGGACTCGTGAATTTATGTTCTCCAACAATAGAGCTTTTATGACATTGGAGGTGGTTAAAAAAACTAGAAGTAGCTCTCAAACATGGCATCCCTGTGTTGCCTTTTTTTTTTTTTTTTTTTTTGTATTCTCAGAGCTGCCAGGAGTGCATCGGGCCTGTAATTTCCTGTTCTCCGAATCCCCCATCTTTCTGCAGCTCCAAGCTTTGTGTCCCACAGCCTGTGACTCTGTGCTAACAAATCGCTATTGTCCAGTGGGGCGAATGGTGGCTGGAACTAAAGAATTGCTGTCTGGTTTCTATTCAAATCCAGGTAGTGAGATATATGAATGGACTTTTCGAATCGTCATGTGAATAACGTCTGCTCGGCATGAAGGCTCAGAGCCACACTAGGAAAGATTAACTCCTAGACTGACCACTAATATCCTTTGTGGTAGGAGGTAGAAATATTCTCAAGCATCATTTTATTGACACTTAATTTTCCATTTCATCACCCAAAAGTAGGATTAGCCATTGAATTATTTGACTACTTTTCTTCTTCAAGTTTAGTGTTTCTGTTGATAATACAGAAGTTTGGGAAAATATTTTTCACTTAGAACACTGTATTCTGTCGTAAGTTTTCCACCTTATATTTGTTATGGCATAAAGTTATCTTTGTAGCATATATGCAAAAATGAGAGACAGCAAGCTGTTTTTTCCATGAAACCAACCTTTTCAATGCATTTCAACCAATGAAGGGAAAAATTCTCCTTTTTTTTTTTTCAGTGCATTCTGCTTATTTGCATTTTTCTCCCAAAGTCCAAATTTATACAAAGAAAATACAACTTCAAATACAATATATTAACCAAACAAAACAAGCCTCCTTCAAATTAGGAACCGACTTAAGCATCTGTAAGTATTGCAGAATCAGGATTTTAAAAAGCAGATTTGGAAGCTAAGCTATAATTAATAATTCTCATTTATCCTCGGAAAATTATTTTATCTTTCTCTTGCATCCCCGAAAAAATGTCCACAGGCTTAAAGGGCCATGCTTTCTACATTCCTTCCATATCACAGGTACTATGGGATGGAGAGCCTTTTATGTTTCTTTTTGTCTTAAACTCAGACAGCTTTGTAAGCAGTAGTGTGTAGATTACAAGAGTTAGACAAAAGCAGGCGCGACTGAGAAGAGTTGGGTTGTGGAGGGGGGAGCTTGGAGCACTTCCTGTCACTCAACACATTCCAGATCACTAAAAAATTTCCACACCCCCTGCATTCCCTCTTGCCCACCCCAGATCCCAGTATTTTCCGATTCCATATGTTGTGGTATTTATCACACTTCCGTGTATCACTGGGCTCCGGCAAGACTGCTCCTGAGAAGATGCATTCCTTTAGATTGCACAAAGCATAGCTGGGAAAATGGCTGGCAGTTTCAGAATCTAGTCACGATCGCACGCATGAGCACCTCACACATCCATGCCCCTCTCCCCCCCTTCTCCCTCCCCTGCAGCTGGCTGACCTGTCTCACCCACTGCTGGCCTATCGAGCGGCCAGGACTGTCTGGTTTTGGCTCATGCCTTTGTCCATGTCTGGCTTAGTTCCTCTCTGTCTACGCTTGCCTCTCCCCCCAACGCCCCAGGCGGCACAAGTGTTTGGCCACACAAAACTACAGATAGAAAAGGTGGTGAAAACTTCAAACTTTGCTAGATTCTCCAACAGTTTATTCTTTTTTGAATTTCTCCCTTCATTAAATACCCTGTTGTAAGAAAACAAATACAAAATTAATTCTCTAAAGGCAAAGAATGCAAAGCAACCTTTGTGTTCCTTATAATAACTGACTTCATAACTCTCTCCAGCTGCGTTATGGGGTGTGTATAAAAAGCTTCTGTTCTGAGAACAAAGGAGCACGTGCAGAAATGAGACTAAAAAATCCGCTGACAGTATTTCACTACACAAATTACTTAAAAGATTTTAGACAAGCCTCTCAACAGATTCAATGTTAAAATGGTTTTTAGTTAAAAAAAAAAAAAAAAAAGAAAGTGCTTACCCAGTAAAAGAACCGAAGTAGTCCTGAACTGTTACGTAAGACTTTTTACAGTTGGATCTTTGTCAAAAGGGGGTGGGGGTGATGGGAGAAAAGCAGCAACAACAATCAAAAAAGTTCGAGCTGCTGTGGCTAGAGGACAACTTCTGTGTTTCCAGATAGGATTCTTGCTGTAGAAATGGAACTTCCAGCCAGCACACCATCCTGTCCCAGTAGAGAAATGAGTTTGTCAGTAAAAAAAAAATTAGATACTGGAACCCAGGCTAGACGAGGTATTGAACCGCGCCAGATTTCCTTACAGCCCTGTCTGCTCAGCTCGCATTGAACTATATATGACCCAGATGATGGACAGAAGCACATTCAGTCATGTGCACACTGGAAGAAAGCGGATTTGCTGGTCCCTGGCAGTGCAGGGGTTTGTCTTCTGATTGGGCTGTGCCCTGATCAGTGAAATGTGAAGCCCTCACCATTCAGAGGCCGTAATTCAGCACTGGCAGTTTGAGTGTCTGGCTGCCTCTAGTCACTGAGAGATACTTTGAAGGTGTTGCTTTTGTTTGGTGGCATTACCCACCCAGAGGTTGCTTATACCTATGTAGTGTGTCAGAAGCAATGCTGGTCTTTCTGAAATGCAGGAAGGCAGCCGACTTTGCCCGAAGCTGTCATCTTATTGTTGGTGAACTTGACTCTAACTTAAACCAATTATTTGACTTGAGATTTTTTTTTTTTGTGATCCTAAGTCCCATGTCCCCTGTCTTGATTTTAATGGGTTTGATAAAGTAGAAATAAAAGTGGTATTTGACTTTGAAGCTCTCTAGATAATATAAATTGCTCTTAATGAAAATTGGATGAGTGGAGAGTAGACAAGTTACATTTTGGATTCTGGAGTCATTGATGAACATACGAGGGTGAAGCTGTCACTCTTTTCCCAGTCCTCAGTCTGGGGCAAGAGTGGGGACTCCTGGGGGAAGCTAGCAAAGCATAGACCCCATCGCGCTGCGACACAGCCTTTAATCGTGCCAACAGCCGCAGTCTGCTCTCTTCAGTCTGCCTAAACGAGGGTTTGGGGGATTTGTTTTCCATCTTTCTGGGCCACTGGGAAACCAGGTCATTGTATGAGACAGTTAGTTGTGACATTTTTGCTTAGTCTATGAAAGTTGCATTGTTTAATGCAAATTAACATTTTCAAAAAATGTTAAGTTTTTATTTTTTTCCAGGGACTGTCTTGTCTCTTTAGGAATTAGCTTATATGATCCAAACTTGATATTTAGACATAAAATACTTTGGCTTATTTTCTGCCTCTTTTACCCTTGGAGAAGTAAACCCATGGTCAGTGTGTATAGCATCTCTCTATTTTGCTATAAATTAGGGTTTGGGCATTTATATATTAGTATTTGTAATTTCTTAGGTGTTAACTACATCACACAGTGTCCTGTGTATGAGGTCTGCCCTGGGATTTTTCTCATGTCAATTCAACCTGGGAAAAAGCTGGGTTGATATACTACCAGATATAAAAATGGTCAAAGTTACAGAAGAGTGGATGTATTTTTATTGATGTGAAAGAGACACATCGATTGGTTGCCTCCTGTACATGCCCCAACCAGAGACTGAACCCACAACCTAGGTATGTACCCTGACCAGGAATTGAACCCACGAACTTTGGGTGTACGGGACAACACAGCTGACTGGGCCACACAACCAAGGGCCCATATTAACCATTTAAGTGTATGGTTTTGTAGCATTAAGTGTGTTCCCATTTTTGTGCAGTCATTAGCACCAACCATCTCCAGAACTTTTTCACTATTTTCCCCAACTGAAATCATGTGCCTATCACTAACTTCCCTCTCTCCAGCCCCTGGCAGCACCATTCTGCTGTCTCTATGACTTTGACTACTTGAAATACTTTATGTAAGTGGAGTTATGCAATATTTGTTTTTTTGTGACTGGCGTCACTGAGCATAATGTCCTCTAGGTTTATCCATGTTATAATATGTGTCAGAATTTCCTTTTTGAAGTTGGATAATACTCTATTGTGTGTGTGTATATATATATACACACACACACACACACACACACCATATTTTATTTATCCTTTTAAATGTGATGGACACTTTAGTTGTTTCCACCTTTTGGCCATTATGACAGTCATTCTTGACCATTCTTCTTACAGTCTTGTGAGGGCTTCTTCACAGAGCTTCTCTGACCCATTGCAGAAGCCGTTTTGTTTTATAAGTTGGAAGGGTTTGGGTTTACCTGTTAACTTGAGACCGGACCCTCATACCAGGTTCGCTAGAGAAGGGCAGATAGCTTCTCTTCAGCCTTCCTGGATGAGACAATACATACTACACTCCTCTCTCTTATACTTGTTGTTTATGGCTTGTCTTTCCTGTCACGTGGTGAGCTCTTCCTGGGCAGGTGCTGCAGCCAGTGCCCGTGAACTGTGCCTGACGTCCAGGCACAGGACCTGTAGCCGAGTAGACATCAGTGAGTACTAGTTGGGGAACATATGAATGAATGAATACTAATAGAAAATAGCTAATTTTAATTGGGTTTTTATTATGTACCAAATGTTTTTTAAACATTAGCTTATTTACTCTTCAAAACAGTACTGTTGTCTTTATTTAGTAATGAGGAAACTTGCTTAAGCCCTAACAGCATATAAAGATACCATTGGGATCAAACCCCTGTCTCTCTTGGCTTCAGAGCCATTTTTTAGAGGCAACTTTCATAGTGAGGTGGTGGTCAATGGGTTTATAAACAGGAGATTTAGCCTAAGCTTTGAAACTAAATCACATATTTTTTCATTGGGCACAAGGAGCTGTAGCCCAATTGTAGATATGGTTCATGAGTGGATGCTCAGTGGAAAGCTGGACAATTCCTGGTTGAACTCAATTCACATGTACTCCCATGTATGTAAAGTTTGTTTCTCGTTACTTTCAAAGTACAGTCAAATGTAATACACTGGAATGAATGCATTGATGTTGTTTATTCACTTGTTCATTTGGCAGCTACACACACAGACATACACATGTGTGTAGGTATACATATACATTATAGGTGAGCGAGTAAGTAACTGGCACTGTTCTAGGTGCTAAGGAGAGAGTCAAGATGAAAAGAGAAAAGATTTATGGAACTCGTATTCTAGTGAGGGGACAGAAAAATAAGTTAACAAAGTAGGGTGAGGTAAAATGGGAAGGAAACTGCTGTGAAGAAAATAGTGGAACATGATGGTGGAGAATGCTTTAGGGGTGTGGTGGGATGGAAGACTTTTATATTCATCTAACTTATTTATTTTTTTCAATTAAAGTTTACATTTGTGATTATATTTTGTTAGTTTCAGATATGTGGCATAGTAGTTAGATAATCATAAACTTTACAGAGTGTTCCCCCTGATATATCCAGTACCCATGTGGCACCATACATAGTTATTACAGTATTATTGACTATATTCCCTATGCTATATTTTACACTCCCATGACTGTTTTGGAATTACCAATCTCTCCTTCTCAATTCCTTCACCGCTTTCAGCCAGTTGGATGGGGGACTTCTTTAATGAGGAAAAGGGAATGCTTCCTGAGGAAGTGAAATACACAAACTGAGAGCCAAACAATGAGAAGACCCCAACATGCGAAGAGCTGAAGGAAGTGTGATCTGGGCAGTGAGAACAAGAGCTCTGAGCTTGGCGCATTTGAGGAGCAGGAAGGGCAGTGTGGCCTAAGAGGAAAGTGAATACAGGCAGGAGGTGATGTCGCGGAGGTGGGGTGAGGCCCTATCACGTAGGGCCTTGTAAGCTGTGGTGAGAAATTTGGATTTTTTTTCCATCTGTATTTTTCCCCCTGAGTGATAGGAAATTGGAAGGTTTTATACAGAAGAGTAACTTGTTCTGCAGGCCAAAGAATTCCTTCTGTGCAGTTCTTGTGGGGTTTTTTTTGTTTGTTTGTTTTTGTTTTTTTTTTGTTTGTTTGTTCCTGAGGCTTCCTGACACCACCTTTAACTGGAGTCCTTCCAAAGGAGGGGACTTTGTCAAGGCTTTCACATGCTAGTGGCCAGCTCTGGGTGTCCTAGCAGAATGATGTTTCCTCTAGAACACTTCTGGGGCTAATACTGGTTTCATTGCTTTTTCCATCCGAGGGAGCTTGTTCAGCAAGAGTTGCTTCTAGGTGATTTCACATATTACTGTTGTCTGGATAGGCTCTGGCAGGCTGGTTCTTTATATTTAAGATAAAAGCCAGTTCCTAATTAAAACTGATCTTTCTGTGTCAATAACTTAGAAGACCGTGTCCTTGGCAGAGGATGATGGCTGACTGTTTCATCTATATCATGTACTTAAAGGCATATTGATGGGAATCTGAAATTGACCAATAAAGAGGAACTTTCCCAGTGTTCTTAAATAGTATTTTCCCAGTGTTGTGTTCAGATATTCTGACTCTAGGAAGGGTAATTGCTAACATGTGACCCACGTTGTCTTACTTTTTTCAAATCTCAAATATTCTGAAGAACACAGAAAATAACACTACACACATCTGACAGTCTCATTTTGTTAGGTCAGTGGCTTTCAAGTTTTTTGACCATTATCTATTTAGTATAAGAAAGATATTTTATATTTTAATGTATACACATATCTATATATCAATATCTATATATGTAAAACTTCACTTTTATAAAATAGTACTTGTCCTTATTACAGGTAGTATCATCTGATATTTTATTTTTTTACTTAAAAATGTTATTTGTGAGCCAGTAAGTTGAATTTAAAACTCACTGATGGGGCAGCCTGAACTTTGAAAAGCACTGTGACAAAACCGAGCTCTAAGAGGTTATGACTTGTTTAGTGTTCATAGCAACAAAGTGGCAGAGCCAGGACTTGAAGCAAAAAGCATGATTCCAAAGGCCTTATTTTTTTTTCTACCACATTATATAGTTTCCCAAGTGACACTAACCTTTAATGAAACTGAACAAACAAAAAACCCACCACAGACTTCCGGTCAGGATGGCAGCACAGGTCAATACGGCTCGCATCCTCACACAACCGCATCAAAATTACAACTGAAATATAGGACAGCCCTCACTCAGGACCATGAGAAATCAAGTTGATGGAGTCTGATAACTACAGAATTAAAGAAACCACATCCATCCAGACGGGTAGGAGGGGTGCAGATGCAGAATGGGCTGGTTGCACATCCATGTGTGGTGGGTAAAAATTCGGGATGGATGTCACAGGAGCAAGGAGTTCCAGCCTCGTACCTGCCTCCCCAGCCCAGGGT